TTTTTTTTTTTTTTTTTTTTTTTTTTTTTTTTTTTTTTTTTTTTTTTTTTTTTTTTCTTCATGCATACATGTATGTTTTTTTATGCGCTAAGCAGGACGCGTTCGTGAATACGGGTGTATTGTGTACACGAGCGATTCTACGAAAAACACGAGCTCTAGTCATTCAAAGGCACTGTATGGGTTTGTATACCTATACTCGCGGGTCGAACCGTGAGTTCAGTATGATATTCCAGGCTCTCCGAGACCACCTGCGCGCACTTTAATCACAAAAAGTACTCGTACATCGGCTTCCATCGTTACAATTACCGGTGTTTGTTTTTATAGTCAGTAAAAGTAACAAACGGAATTGGAAGAAGAAAAGAAAAAATCTTAGTAAATTTTTCCAACCTGTACGGGCCATTCTCGAAACGAAAGATTTGTTTTTTTTTTTTGTTTTTTTGTTTTTTTTCCTAGACTCGCCAATACCCTCCATGTACATCGTGTACACTTTCAAAATCGTCAATCAAGCGCGTGCGACTTTATTACCGTTGATCGCGCGCGCGAAGCGAAAAAAAACAAATATATATATATGTGTGTGTTCTCCACATGACACCCGACGCGCCCACTATAATAACAAAATTGTAAATATTATACGCTTGCACACACATCAATGTGCGGATTGTTACGAAAGTTGAAGGAACGAAGAAATTATCGCGTGTTGTGTGTAAGTATATTGTAACAACGCGCTTCAGAGAGCAAAGTGAAAAAGAGAAATCCAACTTTTCCATCGCGTCTAGTACACGTCCACGGGAGGGTGAGCTCCCATCGCACGCTTTCGCGCTGTAATTCGCTATACTGCCGCCACTTATATGCGGTGGATTCAATCAAAAATACCGAGTTGCCAGGTAAACCCGTGCGGTTTAGCCGACATATGTATACCTACATGTATACATATCATGGGAGTACGAGACGTGTATACTTATCCGCGTTAAAACGGAGCAGCGCTTGCTTACCTTCATGAGCGCGAAGCGCTGATCGTCCGCGAGTTTGAGCGAAGGCGTCATTGCCGCGCGTGTTTCGCTTAGCTGAACTTCGCCTCCTTTTTTTTTTTTTTTTTTTTTTTTTTTTTTTTTTTTTTTTTTTTTTTTT